ACCCACCCCTCAGGCCCACAGCACGAGACTGGGTGGGGATTCGAGTCCCAGGGGTGATGGCGACAGCCTGACTCGTGCGTACTGAAATCAGGGTCTGTTACCAAAGCTGACTCCCTGCAGCTCCCGCTGCGTGCCCAGAACCTCCTGCCTGAACCACTCAGGAACAACACCAGCCCCACAAACGGCTCTGCTGAGCGTCCAGCTCTTTGTCATTCGAAAGAGACAACGAGCTGTGAGGTGATGGAGTCCACTGAGTTACTTGGTGGTAGGAAGGCGCACAATAGAGGAAAACTACACGTAAAGCAACAGGTGATGCTCGGTATGAATAAATGTCGCACCTAGAGAGCAAAACCAGTCCCGGCTATGTCCTTCCAGGGAAGAGCTTCCCAGAGCTACACCACGGAGCCCTGCACAAGCGTCACCCGGCGCTGGGCAGCAGCCCCCAGCAGCACGCGACAGAGCGACAAGGACCGATCAGCAAGGGGAGGCTTGTGCCAGCCTCAAGAATTTGTAAGTCACCAAGGGGGAACAAAAAAAACCCAACAAATGCACAAAACACAAAACTAACCTCGCAAGGAACGACTCTAATCCCTTTGCACCCAGTTCCTGTAAAGATTCTACATCTGATCTCGTTTCCACTGTGCTGGCAGAACTCCAGCAGCAGCAGCTGAGCGAATTAATTTAGTCCTGCTCAAGCAGGATCAAAGTCGAGCTCTGGCTCTGGCAGGCCTGCGCTGTCAGCAGAACTTGTTAAGCCAGAATACCGAAGGATTTGATTCATTGTCACATATTCCAGCAACATTTATAGCGGAAGATTATTTTCTTACAGACAGTTGGGACGTAAGAACTTTCTTGTGTAAAACAAAACTCTGAAGCATATCTTTGATTATAGCGTCATTAATTAATTTCGGTTACTCCCATGTTGCGTACAGCCCACATTAGATAAGCTAACACCCATTATTTCGTTAGGGCTTTCCACACCATTCGGTTCTGAAGGAATGGCAAACTTTTGTGACCTCCCACAGCAACAAACCCCAGCACTCATCACCCCAACAACACCTTTTCTGGCTGGAACTGAATTTAAGCCAAGGGATACCTCAGCTGGTACTGCCAAAAACCTCACGTGTTTCCTCTTTAGAGCGGTGGCTGAGCAGGTGACACTTGTTCCAGCCCTCAGCCAAAGCACGCCGGGTTTCTTCTTCACAACACCGCTGGCGCAACTTTGGGGTGATCTCCGAGGGGCCAGGGAAGGGGAGGTTCAGGGGGCAGCAGCGCCTTACCAAGGGAAGTGGCAGAACTGTGGAAGTTCCTCAGAATACTCAGAAAAAAAAAAAGGAAAAAAAAGTGACTGAGGCCAGCCCGGTTTTCTCAACGGAACTCCCGAGCACCAAAGCAACAAAGGCAAAACCTCCTGGGGATCCGCACCCAA